TTTGACTTCAAGGGTGCTACAGAAAAAAAAAGAACAGTGGATCCCAGCTATATACAGCAAAAGCAAGTATATACTCTGTGTACCTACTATAGAAGCAAAAACAGCTTCGGGTTCGGCCAATCCAACCAAACCTGTTTCAAGCATGGTTCAAACAACCATTTAGTTCTCAGGATTCCCGTTGAAAGGGGCAGAGTCTGGCTGTTTCAGCCAACTTTGCTCAACCCAAGTGGCCCTCGTTCCGTCCTCCGGCCGGCCCTTGGCTTTGACCTTCTGAGGCAGCACAATCTGCTCGGCGAAGCCAAAGGGCCTTCGGCTCGCTCCGTTTCCCAAGTCTCTCGCTGGCTCGCTGGTTCGGTAGGTAGGTAGGAAAAAGGCGGAACAGAAACGGACACGATTGGTTCGTCGCGCATGAGACCAAGTGGGAGTACCAAGGACAGCTCCTTTTGCCCAACTCATGAGACTGATTCGAGCACGCCTTTAAGTGAGTGGCTCGGGGGTTTGCTTTCATTCCAATCCCCAAGTGGAATTGAGGCTAAGCAAGCTGTAGATTGGAAGCTAGAAGGACGCCAGTGAACTTTAGGGTGCAAACGTCTTTGGCGCCCTCTCCATTCAAATCGGGTGTGGGCGGGGAACGTTTGCTTGTGGGGAGTTCAGCCAGCCGCTTGGCCAGGGCAAAATGTGTTTCAACCGACCCTGGCTCCAGGGAAACCCAAAGGCGTTCAGCTTGAGCCACCCTGGCAGGGGCAAAACAACACAATGGCCGTGGGCCACTGCTTAAGCGAGGCCAAATTGAGTTGATGTTTCCGCTCGGTTTGCGGGTTAAGGGGTGTATCAATCCGCCCCAAGATCTTGCCGGTTTGTGAAACTTCGCTTCGGAACCCCGAAGCAAACATCATCTTTGGTAGGTGCCCTAGAGACGCTCACGGTGTCTTCGACACGCAACCTACGTTCATTCGAGACGAGGCGCATTTTGATGATATGTGCCGAGCGCAAGCTCTGTTTCTACAAAAGACAGCGGACGTTTCTGGGCGTCCCAAACGGGAAAGGCTTTGTCTTTTGCAACAGGGATCCTTACATTATACACCTGAACATTGCCTTGTAAATGGTGGTTTCCCTTCATTTTGGTGGAAAAAGCCATCTTTTAAATGGGCAAAATGTATCCCTTAAGGAGCCCTGTGCAAGTACGATGCGTTCCCGAAAAGTCTTGCGAGCTCAGGGGGCCTTGCACGCTCTGTCCGGCAAAGAACCTGGACACTTGGGCACCTCTTCAATGATTCAGTGGCTTGTTTGGGTGTGTGTGTCTTCTTGATGATACCCATTTCGGAGTGAAAGGAAACTCAAAGAGAGCCCCACCATTTTGTGGGGTCCCCAATTCTTAGGCACATCCGTTTCCCTTTAGACTGACATGCACATCTGGGTTGTTGGTAAAAAATGGAAGGGAATTCTGAAAGCGAATCCATAATCCGGAGGGATCACGATGATGGCAAGGATGGCAAGGATGGCCCCTATCCTGTGTGTGCTTTTCTTGAAGGTACCCGTTTCACAAACGGTGGAAAGGTAAACCGCAAGGAAACCACGCATTTTGGAGGGGTCTCTGAATTTTGACACATACCCTCTAGCTGGGGCCGGCACGTGTCCGCGTCGCGCGGCAGCCATCGGATGTCCTCATCGCCTGGCGAAAGTCCCGTTGCGTTTGACTGAGGTACCTGGACCCTCAAAATATCCAGAAAAAAGGGAATTCACCAACCAAACAACTTGGAGCAATGCCTATTTTACAGGGAATTTTGAGGGTCCATGCAGACTTAAGCCCAAGCTGGGTGGTTGACTTCCCCAAGAAGCCAAGCACCACAACCTTGGTCCCGTCCCAGCCGATGAATCTAGCGATGTGCTGGCAATCAGTCCCCCGAGGGGATTTGTCCTATATGTTCCAGTCAGGGGACCTTCTAACTGGGGCTGCGAACCACTTATTTAGTGGGGTGCTCATCCAAGTAATGTGTCTCAACTTAGCTGAACTTATCTTTGTCGTTGAATCAATATAAGCTGAACAAGTCGTGACTCTGCCCTACCAATCAAAGCACCGAGTACGAGGCAGTGATTTCATCAAAGGTTTGTGCAAACGTGAACGCTGCTGCATGAACCTATACACATAGACACCACGTCTATTTGCGTGCTTGTCTATTTTCGTGCAAGGCACGGCGTAGCCTTCCAAAGCTGTCCCCGAAACCTCCTGAACATCAGCTCTTGGGAGGGTGAAGACACTCACCTGAAAAGAGAGCCTCCAAATTTGCCGAAGAGCACTGGGACGTTGTAAGCACCAAGAGCCCTCCCTATTTTTCATGGTTGGCTTCATGTTACTTCCCTCTGAAAGCGCCCGAACAAAGTGCCTAGTTTTGATACGTAGCCAAATCTGGTCACAAGATCCTCCGCCAAAGGAGTATAAAGCTCCACCAAAACAAGGGCGGACAACCTCCAAACCGGCCACCAAACCACCCAGACGACTCTACTCCCCTGTCAATGACGAATCATCCACAACAAACAGGAACGAATATACATCAACTGAACCAAGTACGTGTTCATCAAACATAGCAATCAACCATCACTACAGGGAGACGTGGCCAAGGACTCAAACCCAAGGGGGCACCTTACCTAAGAGTCCGCGCCTTGCAGAGAAAGAAAAAAACAAAAAAAGAACCAGCTGAAGCAGCCCCAGTGATATCCACAACCTTGGTTGTGCTCATCACTGTCCTCCATTTTTGGTGTGTCCGACAGTATATCTGGTTCCCACGGAATTCTATGCTTTTAAGCTCGCTTCTGCTTCATTCGGAAGGGCCCGCCAGGCCGAACAGAACGAGACCGGGTCGCCTAGTTGAAGCCCGGTACCGTTGGCCGAGACATCGCGCACGCAGAGTTGAGGCTCCTGGCTATGGAGAAGTCCCATCCGTTTCTGAAAAGCGAATTGAAGTCTTTCCTTCAGCTTCGGGTTTCCAATAAGTCGAAAGGCCTTCTTTCCCGCTAAATCTGAATCCGAAAAGACCCCGGAATGATGCATCTCCCCAGGTTTCCGCAGCCCTGCTTTCGGATTTCCGGGTTGATGCTTGACCGTGCTTTCAGCAAACCAAAGTTGTCACACTCCAATTCCTTTTCCATGAAGCCCGGGTCCTCATCGGGCAGCTGCACCAATCGGAGCTCTGCGTGCACCCAGGAGACCCCCAGGTGGTTGATGACCTGATGCGCTTTTTCCAGCCGGCCGCCAACAAAAAGCGCTCTGGAGCCCCAATTTGAAGATTAAAAGGCACCTGGAGTCTCCAACACTACAAAAATTGGGGTCGTTACCCAAAATGAAGGGGTCTGCGGGTCATGGACCCATGTTTAAGGGTTATGGAGACTTCAGGCAGGTAATGGTAAACTGGAGATCGGATTGGTAGAGTAGGGCCTAAATGGTTCTACATGTCGCATGTGGCTCAAACATGCAAATGTTGCGTGGCAAAAGCAGGAGCGCACGGTCAGATTGCTAGGGCCGGAGACCACAGCCCAGGGGATACTGAGTGGTTTTGTTGGGGCTATGAGCCAACGACAAAAAGGATGCCCTCAAAATAGATTGCCAAACACAAATAAATGGCCTGACTGTGCGACAAAATCCCTCAACGGCACCTCAAGCGCCCACTGAGCTTGGGACTATTGCGCTCTTGGGGCAACGGCCAATTCTCACCTTGGCATAGGCTGACAGAATCGCGCGCAACATGGGTGTGGAAGCATCCCGGCAAACGGCTTAAACTAAAACATTGAAATATCAATACATACATATATATATATATATGCGTATATATGTATGAAAATACAATAAATTGTCATTAAAATCATTTGGCCCCCCCCTCCGGAAAGCGTCGTATGCGCTGTTCCTGCCGGGTTCAGGTCCCTTCTTTGGGGAGCCCGCGCGGGCAATAGGACTTGCTGGCTTGCAACATCCGAGAACAACATAAGGCGCGACTTCGAGCGACATGGTACAGTCCACGTAACAAGCCTATCGGGTCAAAACATGAATCCATGGCAGAACAAGGAGCAGTTCCTGGGAAACGCTCGCCAAATAGCAATATTGATACATACATTACATTATATATAATATATATTATTATAATATGTGTCTGAAAGTTGAAATGGGAGGTGTGACACAGGTAACTGATTGGGTCAACCAATCCGGCGACATTCCTGGCACCAAACGTGTTTCCAAATGAGCAATCAGGTGATCAACTGTTGGATTGCCGTCGCTGAACAACTGGCTGGAAGCTACGCAACAAAAACCGAATCCACTTCGGAAACTCAGTTGCTTGTTGACCTCTGCCTCTTGCGGTTTTCCCGGAGCAATAGGTTCCTCTTTCAATCAACTAAGGATCATAGTGGGGTTGTGGGATACTTTGAGCGCAAAACAAGTCTAAGTCATGATCCTAAGAAACCTGCTAGCGAGCATTGGGGTGTGTCTTCCTTGGAGGTGGTACTCTCGAGGTTCTTTTTTTTGCAGTTTAGAGAAGCAAGACACACACACACACAATTCAGCCCCTTGACTGCTGAATTACGTTGGACTGAAATGAGCCTATGTGCAAAAGTCTCGGCGAATCAGTCCTGTTTGCGCCCGTCCCCAATTAATAAGAAAATGAGACCGGCTTGATTTCCCTTTGACAAAGCAACCCCAAAAAGCCATACCAACTCCAAACAAAAACAAGCCCTTTTGGAACCTACCCCAACTCAACAGGTGGAAGCTATCCTCAAGGTTGGATTATCTGCTTTGACCGTTCGCGCTGCAATTAGGACCTTAGTCCTTCTTGTCTACTTGTTGATTCCGAAACCGATTTCGAGGAAGCCAACCACATCGATCCCCTGCGTCCACTGTGCGTCCACTTGATAGAAAGGAAAGCCACCAAACTTGGAATGTACCTTCTCTTCTCCGATCCATCCCAAAGGGGCTTTGGTTGGCCTGAGTTGGACCTAGAGAAGGCCCATCTCTCGGTGGTATTGTGTGGAGAAGCCGAAGGGATTCCCCACGCTTTGCAGCCAAAAGACCACCGTGTCCTCCTCGTCGCCTTCCGGCTGTAGCTCACAGTGGACCTCCTCCTGGTTTTCAAGAGAGCGGCCAGACGTGCTTTGAATCTCGGAACTTGATACCACGCTGGCTGTCTGCTGCTTGCTGGGCTCCATGTTAGTGGAAGGCCACCAATCAACTTGCTCAGAACACACGAGCAAGCCGGACAAGAGGCCATGTTTCAACTTGTTGCGCCCTCAAAGCGAAAAGGTTGGAGAAACCAACGGATGAATCTGTTGTCCATGCCGGGGGAAAAGACAATGATGCCAGGAATCCTGAAAAGGGGCCCTATGTTGATCGCAAAACTCATTTTGGGTGGTGTCCATGCTCAACAGCTTCTAGCGCCAGGCTGGCTCCCAGGCACATTGAGTTGAGGAGAGGGCACACCTACCACGACCAAAACTGGTTTGTGTAAGGCAGATTCTCATTGTTGTATTGCAAGCTCTTGTCGTAGTTTTCAAAACTGACTTGTGTTCCCTTGCGCCCAACGTGGAAGCTTTTTCGTTGCTCGAATATCAAACCTGAGTGCCCAAGCCACTTGAAGCTGAGCTCAAAGCTTCGGTGCTGACCCGTGGCAACACTGCACGCGGAGGATGGCCGGGGGACTCGGGCGGACACTGCCTCGGTCTGGCGCCGGAGCTGCACCCGAGCAAGATTTCGCGCGTCAAGCCCGGCTTCGGGCAATGAGCCCTGGGGATCTTTGGGCATGGCAACTGGAGAGGATGGAGCGCAACTTCCCCAAGGGAGCTGCGGGATGTGAAGGTCCTGGGGAAACAGCTGCAATGATGCGGCAGGTGATCTTCGGGCAAGCCGCCATCCCAGGTTGGCGGAGGCGAAGCGGGAAGTTTGGCTGGAGCTGCGCAGCCGGTCAACCGCAGGCGATGGCCCACTGATACACATCCACCGGGTTAGCGATATGATCAGGGATTTTCCCCACGGAAAGAACCAAGTACATCATCTTTCTCCTTAGTGGTAGCTCGCTTCCCTCTAATTAGTGGTTTGGATTGGTGGTTTGGTGGTGGGGGGGTGGTTTCCAATTTGCCCTCTACGAGAACTGGGGGTTCAACCCCCCAAACCACAAAGTTCATTGACACATGGAACAAGGTTCCATGTTTTGGTTCCAAGGCCTCAACCCCAGTTCCCCCACATGGGAAATCCATTTACTTGGTTGCTGTTGACCCCTCTGCAAAAAGTTTAACTTTTTGTGGGTTTAGTGGAAAACTCTTTGATTTTTGCAAAAAGTTGAAGTCTAAAGATCCAGCCAAATACAGGCAAACGACAAAGTCATGCCTAAGTCACTCCTTTATCTGTGTGGCCATGTGTTTTCCCACGTAAACGCCGGTTCCAAGAAGTCACTCCGATGTCACGCCTCGGCAACAATCCCCATGGAACGCTTGACATCACCGAGCTGATCATGCTACAAAAAGACAGGTGTCAACACTGAAACACAATGGAACGCTACTGATGGCAAAGCATGTTTTCCAGCCCCGCGAGGCGTCTGCAGGAACATGAAAACCGATGGAACGCCAAGAGTTCTTTCTCTGGAAGGCAGGCAGGCACATTCGCAATGCACCCTGGCAAAAAACGAGATCAAAACGAGATCAAAACAAGATCAAAACGAGATCACCGATCGTCCGTTGAAGATTTTGGGCCCACATATGCCGAACCCGCGCCCACAAGTTCCGCACCCACTTTTCGACACAATTTCGCACCTGCGAACGCCAGCCGCTCAAGCGCGCCTGCTCAGCCCTGCACACACACACACACCAGCCAAATGGCAAGCACCCCCGCTCAAGCGCGCTGCACAGACGCCAGCCAAATAATAAGCACCCCCTCAAGCGCATCGCTCAGCCCTGCAAACACGCCAGGTTAGTCCAGGTGAGAGGAAAAGCAAGGTGCCGACTCGAACCAGCTGTAGCAAAAGAGACGTCAAGTCTCAAGATTGCGAAACACACTGTAAACGCTCCTAGGCGGATAAGATAAAACATGCCTAAACCATCCTAAACCCCACGGAATAACCATTTTCAACTGCAATGCCTCCCGAAAGCCTATCCCTTCAAACATGCAGAGTTCCTATGCGTTTTGGAAAGAGGCACGACTTCTTCGAAGCCCTCTCGCCCATGGAATTTAAGCAATGCCTCAAACGGAGGCACGACTTTGTCAAATCCCTGTAGCAATCAAGTGGATGTCTGTGTCTGCCTTCGGGTAAAAAACAACACACGTCACCAGCGCGTCCTCTCCGTCGAGCTGCAGGGCAAAGGACAACGCCTCGATGCAATGGGAAGGCTCAGACCAAAGAAACCACCACATTCTCTAAGCGCAACAATCATCTACCCAGACAATCAAACTATATACCCACAAAAAGCGGAATTCACCAACCACGATTTTGGGGTAATAGCCCACTTTTGCTTAGGGAGCTTTGAAGAATGCAAGTATCTATTTTTTGGGCACAAACCCCAAAGGCTGCCTTTGAGACAGCAACAACTCGCGACGAACTTTGGATTGCCACCCACGTGGCTTGGCAAAAAATCACTCACACAGTTTCCGACCCCAGCCCAAGTCCGAAACAACACAACCACACCCAAGGCAAACCTGCACTTATTTTTTGTAAACCATGGGTTCAGACCAAGGTCACACGCGCACATGGGACACAAAGAGCACTGCTGAGTTTGAAGGGACGCCCTGGGAACTGGGCCACTGGCGTCAAATCGAAGGTTCAAGATGGTGTTATTTTTGTTTACCTCAAAGTATCAAACTGAGGGGGTACCCGAAAGGCGAATGATTCAAACGGGGTCCATCCCTGCCTCCATGATGGCAGCGACCTCGGAAGTTGGTCTGCCGCTGTGATCAGTGGGAACCGGAACTGGTGGACTAATGGGTAGTGTCCTACTGAACCGGCATCCCTGACTCCGGGAGGAAACACCAGCACCATGTGCTTCCCTTGCATCCCGACAAAGATACACCTTGAAGAATGGCCTGCTTCGGAAACCAGATCAATTCTCTTCCCCAAAGTGGATTGGCCCAAGAAGTAACATCCCACTTGTTGTTTGCCACCAAACTGATCTTCCCAAACCAGTAAAGGTAAAAAGGTATGACTTTCTGGCAGGTGCCCTTTGCTGGACATCATGCACATGGGGATGTCTGTTCACGCCATCAACATGCATGCTCACATTGCAACTACCCTCCCAGGGGGTCCCTTTAAAAGGAAAATGGTCTTCCAGGACCCCCCGTCAAGTTCCATGAAATAGTGGGAGGTTTCGTCTAACTCGGACCGTCGTATCTGCGGCACCGCGCCCGTCGCTATGCCATCGCCTGCGCATTGAAACATTAGGCCCCACAGGCAAACCAGCAAGCAGACATGCAGGCAGGCAAACAAACACATAAACAAACGGGGCATGTGTACATAGCTAGACATTCCAAACTCTGAAGCGAACCAACCTTGAAATAACTGTGCCCATGGGAGAAATCGCTGGTTTTGTCCGATCGAGCTTGCCAATAGGCAGATTTATCCAGTCCTGGGGCTGTTGGCTGCGCTCATGAAAGTTGCGACTGCCTTCCTCCGCTTCGTGTCAGCAACCGTGAGGGCTATTGGGTGGGTTTGAGGGCCACGCGGCTCAAGGAAACCAAGAGGATGCCTTGGTTGCTGTTGACCCCTCTGCTCAAAGTGTTCAACTTTTTGTGGGTTTCGTGTTGAAAACCCTTTGATTTCAACCAACAAGCTAAAGTCTAAAGATCCGTTACCCAATACAGGGATCCTTACATTATACACCTGAACATGAACATTGCCTTGTAAATGGCGGTTTCCCTGTATTTGGGTGGAACAAGCCATGTTTCAAATGGGCAACATGTATCTTTTAAGGAGCCGCGCAATAGCAGTCCAGATGCGGCCTTTGCACATCGCTGGCCAGTGGAGAAGCCGCTGAGCCAGAAGGGAGCTGCTCTGGCCACTCGATTGGTTCTGAATCCGGCACCTCGTGAATTCCCTGCATGCCGCCGCTACTCAAGTACCAAGAAAGCCGAAAACCCTGGTTGTTTTAGAGGAACCTCCAAAACTTTTGTGGCACTCCCATTTTGGGTTCCACGCAAATGCATTCATTCAACCATCGGCTGACTCAAAGGGTATTGAAACTTATCAAATCAGCCAGCCGCTTGGGTGTGTCTCAAAGACTGCCAAGCTAATGCTTCCTCTGTTTCATGCTGTGCCTCGCCCCAACGGCGCGACTTTTCTTCGCGCTCGCTCGGCGAAAGCGAAGTCCGGAAGCCAGGGACGCCCTCACCTTCCGAAGTTGCGCCTTCGGTCGGTGAACTTGCGATAGCTCAGGGAAGGACCCACTGAACCATCCGAGTGCTGGCTTCCTGATGTGGAATCCATTGGAAATCCCTAGGTTTTCCAAACACCAGTTGAGCAACTCTATAAATAAACCATGAACCCCTATATGTCGTGGAAGGTTGATTGTGCGCGAGCTAGCGAGTTGCTTTCGCGACCCATGCTTTAGCTTATGTCAAGCTTGCCGCGCTGCTTACGCGGAGGCGTTTTGAGTGTTTCCCTCAAGAGCTGCTTACGAGGTCTCCTTTTTCCATGCAGCTGTTCAAGATAATATTAACATGGATGACTCTGAGTAAATAGCTGGTGAAGTGCTCTCAGGCGGATCCGCTTGGCGCTGTTGTTCTTTGCGGGGCTTTCGCTGTGTAGACCTCTTGCTCAGCGCGTTGGATTTGGCCAACAACTTTGCCCGCACCGGGCAGCCGTGCTAGGCGAGCTTACGCAACCTTACGCGCCTGCTCAACGCAGACTGACGCGCCTGGACCCTGAAAACTTTGCCCGGTAATCCTTGTGTGTTGAAAGTCGCCCTGGCAAGATTCCCAACTGAGAACCAGCAAACAAAACCGCGTCTTCTGACAATGGAAGTGGCCAGAAGGGTTGCTTTTGGAAGACTGAGCATCCTCTTAAAAGGCCCCTTGTCCACTTCCATGATTTTTCAAACCAGGGCAGGAGTTGAATATGCTCTAGCATCATCCTGTTGGTGACGGGTATATAGAGACATGTGCAACTGAAGGTTGACCCAGCCTTTGTCGGGAAGGTGTGTTTATGGCTTTCCCTACAACGAGAAGAAGGGTTTGGGTTCCTCCGAGAAAGATGGGCACTCCACTTTTGGTACCCGCTCCTTCCCAGACCTTCATGGGCAATTTACAAGCAACTGGCCAAAAGCTACTCCCTTCTTGCGTAAAATATGGGCGCTCTACTGATCAAAGATCTGCACTCACCTTTTCGGTCTGCGATTCTCAGCCGCCGACGCGATGCATCAAAGTTTTGACCTGCTGAGCGCAGTGGCAGACACACACCAGAGGCATTCCGCAAAAAACTGTTGCTGGCTCACAGTAAGCCACGAATCGGATCCGTGTGTTTCTCAGGGTATCAGAAGCATTCGCCAATCCAAGCATAGAAACCAGCTACAGGAACTGCGCCATTGCCCAAATACCCACCAAAGGAGAATCTCACTGCGCTTCAAGTGCCGGCCTGCGCATAATGGAGAAGAAGAGGCTCGGGTAGAGCGTCCTCAGTAGCCTAGCTATTCTCGCATCCCATGCTGCAGGGACCTCGGGCAGTCTCTCTCACAACACGAGGTCGTGTAAAAAACCGCTCAAAGTTTTGAGAACCCGTTCTAGCTTGTGCGTGTCTTCGTCTTCACGTGTCGGGGCTAAGCACGATGCCCAAGCAGCACTCCCCTCACCGTTGCAGGCAGGCCAAATATCAACAAACGTGGACTGTTGCCAAGCCATTCCAAAGAATCCTAAGACGACACAAATGGCCCCAAGTAAAAGGCCCTGATTTACAAGCATGACCAACAGCTTCTTTCTTTGCTACTATAGTAGAAGGAAACCAAAGGAATGCATCATGTAAAAAATAGAGGTCACAAGTCGTGTTTACCTGCTATGTTCGAGGAAGGCCACCTTGTGGGTGAGTTGCGTCTTCATTGACACGACAACGCATATGTCAGGTCTTCCAGGACTATAATATACACATATAATACTTGGTATACCATACTGCAGTTAATATACATTATTTCATATTATATGGAGTCAAGTATGTAGCCAGGGTTTGTTACCTCCAGCTATTACATCATGATTTTCCTAGCTTCCTACTGTTCATGGCTGGTACCGAGATCGAGTCCAGGACTGCCTAAACTGGTCTGACATCGGGACCCCTTTTTACTGGGACACCTGTGTGGCCAGTAGTGGGCACAGAACTGCATCGCGTTCGACAAACTTCTAGCTCTTTGTCGCAGTTGAAGATGTGTCGCAAACATTTGCAAAGGTTGTTATGGGGTTGCAAACCTTCGCCGAACCTTTTTCGGGGATTCGTTCACCGCACAACCATCCGACCAACCCCATCCGGTTTGAAGTGAATTTACACCGGGATACATGTACACAACCATTGGTAAGGGAACCATGACCACTCATGGCCACACGGTACAAACACCTTAAAGCCTTAAATGAACAAGCAAAAACCTTGATCATGATGCCTTTTTCCACTTTCTCGTGTCAAACAAGCATGTCAACTGAACATCTGCAAGCCTCAAGGCCTCAGGGCGGCACTAATTCGGGTTTGCGGCGAGCAATGGCAGCTAGAACTTTCGGTGCCAGCACATGGGGTAGAACACCTGCCAAGTCGCTGGAACGTGGCTGCCTCGCATCTCGGATTGTGCCCAAACCGCACACAACATGCACATCTTACCTGTTGATTTGCCCAAAACTGACCCTGGCGTAATCTGACGTATGAATGTGGGTCCATGGCTGCCTTTCAAACTCCAGAAGCAGCGGCCCGTTGGGACAATCCCAAATGCATGGCAAGTTTGCTTTATTTTCTTGAACAGCCACACAACAACAACTCAACAAAAATATGCATCACTCGACTTCACACACAGGTGAACCCGAGCTGGCGGAATTTTGAGACATGCCATGTCTCCCAAAACTGTGTTCATATTAATCAGTGTCTTTTGGTTGATGATACTCTTTTTGGGGTGGTGTTACAGGGCAAAAAAGAAGGACACCACCATAAACCAGCATCTTCAAGCACCATTCATTTTGAGGTAAAAGAAGGAACGCACCATTTTTAAGGACCTAGCTGTTTTGAGACCAAACCCCTTGTCGTGTTTGGCCCACCACGCCCCCCCCCAATCCCGGCCTTTGCTGATGTCGTCTGCCTGCGCGCCCCCACCTCTCGCCGCATTCCGACCGTGCTGGGTGGCCTCAGCTCACAGCGCGCTTGCGATGGGAAGCGAAAGTCCAACTTTGTGAGCGCCAGATCCACAAGTAGAAACAAGAGTCCAACTGTTACAGGGCCCAACTTATAGCTAAAAAAATGCCAGATCTGTAAGAGTCCAACTTATGGCTAAAAATGGGCCAGAACCCAAAAGCATAAAGTAGAGACAAGTCCAGGAACTCAAGAAGTAAGACAGTATAATTCATTATGATCTGTACATAGGTCGGCAACTTTGCCGCAATACACCCCAAACCAATGACAGGCGCTCGATTGACTCATCCGCCGCAAGTTTGGAGGGTTCTGGCTGAATCCCTGTCCCAGGCCAGCCTGCGTCAACATGCTGACCACAGGGCTGGGCCAACCAAACAGATCTTGTCTAAGCAAGGCTCCATCTGAGGGCTTCCAATTTGGCCGGCGGCAGTGGTTCAGTTGCCAATTGTTTGCCCAACCGCGAATGAGGTGGTAGTGTCATTGGGGCTTTGGCTCTTGGCATGTCACTGAAGACATCATGTGCCGCTCCCAATGCTGGTAGACGGTCTCGTTCATGGTTGTGGGGAAATACCATTCTATGATATCAGAAATTCCAAGGGGGGAGTGTAAAGGCCTTCCTGCTCATTGACTCTCTCCCCTGTTCTGATTTGCCATGGCAAGTGAATCTATCGGACCTCCTTGATTAGCTTGAGCTTTGCCAAAGAAAACCGGGAGGCAAAGGAAGTTCGACGTTGACTCAATGACTCAGAAGGTTGACCCAACAACTTGCCAATCACCAGGCACCATTGCAGGTCAGCTACAAACAGCTTGGCCATCGGCTAAAAGTAGGCAAGCAAAGAAAACTTTGGGAAACACCACTAGGTCCTCCAGTGGAGAGGTTAGAATAAGAGTACCATTCTTTTCTCTGTAGTCTATTTTAGTAGAACCCTCCCCCAAAAAAGGCACTACTGGGGCACCTAGACCAGGAAAACCAAAGGCCCTCCCCCAAACAACAGCAAAAACACGGGTGTCCCAGAGTAGCCCCAACGCTCGCCATGGAGGCTTTCTCTCGGAAGCCCGGGCAATATATCCTGGGCAAACGGTGGTGACCTCAGGCGAGCCGTCGTGCTGCCGGCGTCGACTTGAAAATACGGTTCGCCGGGGCAGGAGTTCCCTGCTTCCCCGAGAAAAAAACACGTTGAAAAGAAGTGTTGTCTAAAAACACAAACAAGGGAAATACAGAAACCCCTGAGGGTGCACCAGGGTTAGGGGCATGAACACAAGCACACGGGGGAAGTGTGCCATGATTCACCCAGCTCTTGGATCGGCTTGAAGAGACATAGGGGAAGTCCGATCACTAAATCATTCGCCAATTTGAGGAACCAGCCCGAAAAAAGCAAACATTTCTGAAGGAATGGAGTGTTCCTGACTTGGGGATTCACTATTCTCTGTGAGTTGTTATAAACTAAAAACCATGCTGAGGAAAGCATGGCCACTTGGAATATGCAACATGACACAAAGCCTTTAAACAGGCCTCCTCACACATCATTGACATCATGCAATTGCTGTGTTTGTATTTGTGACGGGCGCGCTGTACGCAGCCAGTTGCGGGCCATGTGCTATCCCTTGACAAAAGTGGGGAGGATATCCTCGATTCTGGTGCCAGTCCTCGATTTGAAACACTAGGGCCTTCCTGGCCGTAGAAATCGACAAGCACACCGGCATGAAAGGATTGCCCTCAGTTGCCAGGGGCCATGCATGGGTCCGATCCAAACTGCACTGCTTGGCAACTTTGTATCTCTGGCCAGCACAAACATGTTGACTGCTCTGACATGGTGACATCATCTCCTCCTTCGAACCCGCATTTGCACATCATGCCTTTCGTTGCTTTTTACAATCCCAAAGCCTGAAACAAGAGATCTCCAACTAAAGGGTCTTCATAGGCTCGTTTTTCCCCTCAGCTTTGTCTCGCCGGCGTTCCGCGAATCCAGTCCTTTGACAGGGCATTGGCCTTTTGAATTGGGCAGCCTTCTTTGGACATCTTTAGCATAGTGATGGCAACCGCTTTGGAGAGTATTCCGCACTGAAACTCACAGCCACAGGTTTGCTTCACGTGCATGATTGTCATATGACCACCCCACAGGTAAGTGGTCCAGTATCCACGATTGTGTGGGCCCTAAATGGGATTGGATTTGCCCTTCATATGTAGGTCGGGTTGTTTTAGGGTACCCTTTTCGGGCAGGTCAACCAAAGGGACGCCACCATTTGTTGGGTCCCTATTTTAAGACACGCCCATATAGGACATATTAATCAGGAATATCAACGCTTGACCGCATGTGGTCATCCAAATAGTGGCCTTTGCTGAAAACAACTGCGGACGCTGAGCAAAAATCGCAAGTCCTATGTCCGAGTCGCTGTTTGTTTTTCCCCTCACGACACCTCCACAAAGCATCAGCCATGGCCTTCACTTCCATCAAGTGAATGAATGTCCAGGACCCGGTTGAAAGCTGGCTCCCCACTCTTGATGGTCATACAAAGGGAATGAATGTGGGCAGTCCCATCAAGGCATAGCTTTTACTAAGGATTCCTGTAATTAAACCATCCAGTAGATCAGGCACTTTCCCTTGTTCCCCTTGCAGTATTTAGGACGCCGTATGCTCAATGGGTGTCTATGGCTCCGGGCAGCTATGCCATTGTCAGCCACCTCCGCCCGCAGGGAATCGTAGAAGCCCACCGCGGCGTGCTGGCGATGCTAAACAAACGCAGCGCGCAACCAGCGACAGGAAGCTCCGGTGAAGAGGGATTGTCAACGCAAATTGGGCATGGACCCCTGTTTGGAAAGTCAACGCGAGTTGAGCATTGCTGGAATTCAATGGTTTCAGTTTGGTTTTACTCATTTGCCAATGCCGTGTGTTTTTTGTTCCACAAGGAGTGTCGGGATCGAGCAACGCAAATTGGACCTCAACCTGCTTTCGAATGTTCTTGGAGGGAAACCAGAAACAAGCCCAAAACCGCGAATCGAGGGAAGTCGACAAGTCAATGTTGATTAGTATCTTGTTCACTTAGGACCCATCAATTTTGCTTGGACTTTGACTGGCCGGCTGCTAGCCCCAAGCTGGCGTGAGAGTCTGCATGGATCTAAGAATCTAAGATGATGGAAACAGTACGTGCATTTTGTCACTGTGGAGACGTGCTGTTGAGGTTGAGCGCTATTCGGAGTCTGCTCTGAGCAGCAGATTCAACAATGCTTGCCGGGTTGCCCTTCAATTCACCTCGAACCCTGTCTCAAAAGCGTGACGTGACTCTGAGCGCCGATTTAAGAGGCAAAAGAATCGAGTCAAAGAAATAGCCTGGAACCCAAATAGGACCAAGTTCTTGCTTATTGCAGTGTTCTGCTTGTTTGCTCGTTTAGGTGGAAATTCCGGAACATGCGAGGAGGTGCAACTTATGATACTCAGCCAGCCCTGGCGGAAAAGCGCTGCGATATACTCCGAAAATCTGAAGGACATACGCAGAAATACGCGAAAATTATCGGAACCACCAAAACCTAGTTGCAAGCTTTTGTGGCTAGGAACAGTCACGCAGATGCACGATTGAAAATTAAGCGTGTTGTGCCGAAACAGGCGTTTTTTGACAGGCATGAGCGTTTTTTCGGCCTGTATATGGCCTATTACCGAAAAGCCATATATTGGAAACTATTCCTAGGAGTATCCAGGCATGTCCCCGACGGTCGCGAATTGAAAGTGCAAGTCCTACACTCCGCCAAGTCCCTCGATCTCACCCGATGTGAGCATGCCATAGGCCAGACCGTAAAGCTACAGCAACCTCCAAGGGCTTTTCTTTTCCTTTTATGCCCAGGTGCACATGGCTGTGGGTCAACAACCAACGAAACCGATTTTGGGGTGGGTGCACCACCCATTTCAGTATATAAGTCTATTTTGTTCTATTTTAGTGGGGATGATTTTGACTCAGGTTCACATGATTTCCAACCACTCTCCCATTTTCCGTGGGGACTTTGCAGTCCAGCCCGAACCCGCTCGAGCCTTCGCCGCTGAGTAGGCCGTCCGCCCCGGGAGGCCGAAGAAGCCCTCACGACATTTTGTCCAAAGGAAACAGGAGCCAAGGAAAAGGTAAAGAGGAGTCCGAAAAGACAAGCCTCAAATCAAAAGTCGACTGAATACTACAGCGTTCATGTGGAACCCTTTTGGAGATGTCCGACAGGAAGATAGGCTGCACTTGCCTCATGCAACAGGACTTGAAGTGTAGGGTGCGTTTGTGAAGCACTCTTTTCACAGAATACATTCATGACGGAACATACAGTAGCGCGGCGATGAGACTTCCACTTTACAGTTGTGGAGAAATTGCTGCTTGGTTACATAGGTATTTTGTCAAAATTATATCCCAAAGCCACTTGCTTCGTGTGGCTGTTGTGCTTTGCCGACAGAGCAAGGGGCACATTTCAGATGGCCAATGAAGGGTCTAGGCCCCTTTAATCACGAAAACCACAGAACACGCCTGGTTTGCTAAAAGAACGGTGGTTGGTAATTAAAGACTGGAATGCTGAACCCCACATGCAGTCCCTTCGGCACCTCGCCTGCACTGAGGAGATCTGAACCACGTGCCCACTCTGCCTGTGCAGAACTTTTGATTTGGCATGACAAGCCAACAGAATCTGACAGAGGCCTACTAAAAACTGATACCCTACCTGCCAAATCGTTGGGACACCCCGGTATCGTCCGTCACTCGAGGTCCACTTTCTGCCAGCCCTCTGAAGACAATCCCCCGAATGTCAGTCTGCTTTCCTCGAGACTCTGATACTGCCCTTTGCGGTGCAAGCAACTGCCTGCTGGAACCCTCACACATCCCACCAAACCACTTCGGCCAAACGGAAAATCGGTCCAGCCTAAGGATCCAGTCTGGTAGCAGGGCCTTTGTCAGCACCACACCACTGAAGAAGTCCACGTTCATCACCAGCTGGTCCACCTAAACAGCGGATGGAAGCCGACCTGCGGCTTGTTGAAGCACTTCGCTTTGCAAGAAAGGGCCTTCCCGGGCATGTCGCGAGCTGTGGCTTTCAACATGGGACCTGGGGTCCAAAGGTGAAATCGGACTTGAGCACCAAACACAAGCGTCTGCGATGCGACTTGCTTTTGGCACCGCGTTTCCATGGGCCGAAACGGGGGTTGAACTTC